GAATTCGGTTACGTTCTGTAACCAAGCTTGTATCCTGGCACGATCTCGGTATCCTTTCGATACCACGAGATCGCCAGCAAATATATATCGACTTTGTCCATTAACTGCCTTCTGATATTTGGCTTCTCGGGGATTTTATGGATTTATTTGGTTACGTTCAACCTTCGCCTTCTGATTTACTTGGCACGTGTTTCTCTGTAGCGGTGTTCAGAGTTAATTTCAACTCGACGCCATGCTACAATCTAAAGCATCCACTAAACTACTGTTTGAAGACTAGCCTCAATATGCTCCTTGAGGTAAAAGAAACACCTGAGTTATAGCAGGTTAGGTGGATTCAGTCAGTTCATAGGAAGCGATGCTCCTCTAGATAGTCAGGGCAGCATAAACGGAATCGTTATAGCGTTTATGCTACTTTGTTGAAACTCGATAAGCTATCTAATTTTTTCCACACATATAGGTATCAACCTAATGTAACAGAATTAATAGTCTGAAGATCCATCCCAAGCGCTTTATTTAAGATGGTGAGTAAGATTTATGGCTCAGGTAAGTGATTTTGATAGTTTCGTTCTCTAAACTGGATGGTTTGGTCATGGAGCTTTCATTGTTCTTCTGAACGAATTGTTCAACACGTACTCCAGGCAGAAATAAAGTTTGAGCATTTTTTCACATGTGACTATCCGCTTGTTCTGTCGATCTCGGTCTTGATTGCTTATTGTTGACCTTTAACCTGTCATTATCAGCCTCTTTGTTTTAATCGTATCGCCTGTTGGTCTGTTTCTTGGTCCCATATTTGTCCATGATTTTTCTGATTGGTTGATGAATTTGAATAATTTTGACGTGTTTGTTAATTCCCTAATGAATTACGTACACACATTTTTCCAGTTCTACGTGCATTTATTATCGTCCACATGCATTGATATATGCGAAGATGTATCATGGCGTTTGACCTCTAGTTGGTGTTCATGCAGACGAAGAGGAAGGTAGCGTGCACTTTATCAGATATAGTGCGTTTTGCACATGAAACAGTTTATTTTGTAGATGATCAGTTTTTCTTATTTGGTGATTTCGTACTTTAGTTTATAGAAAAAACGATTGAAGTGATTTTGCTTATTTGTGTACAACACCTTCGCCGAACGGCTTTAACAACCTCGTTGTGATTTTTTATATAACTTTTACATATATTAGGATGATCCATATGTTGACTTTACTTAACCGCATTATTATTACTTTAATTTTTCTATATGGTTGGTATGTAAAATCTCATATTGGACTCGTGCAATTTCTTTTCCATTCCTCAATCTTTGTTGACTAGACCATTATGTTTCGGCTTAGTCAATATTTACCTTTATTGTTTAGCCTTGCTGCATGATCCCCAACTATTAACAGTCAGCTCTTGTTTGATGGAACTCAAGTTTACGCCATGGAAGAGTTGATTATCTTTGCTCTTAGACTGTCTTTTGATTAATGTTATAGTCAAATTGAATCTTTGTAGATAGAGATATAATCCCATTATGCTGAGAATATTCTTGTAATTACCAAGTACTTAACAGTTGTATTTACTAACCAGTTTTCGCTGTAAATTACATTATGTTGTACTAAATGCACTTTTGACTACATAGTGAGAGCTATATTGTTTGGTTATTTTGTAGTTTTTGATTTAGTTTGGCTTCATACTAAGACTGTGAATCATACACAAAATATGTATTTTCATATAATTATTAGATACGAGTAATTGAAATAACCTTCGTAAGCTATACAGAGGAACTTAGTTTGGCATAATCGAACCAAATTTGAAATTTTCGGATGGCCATAAATTTCTAGTTTAGTTGTTACACGTTGTTCAACACTTTTAACAGTAGAGTTCATCAACGAATACGCAGTCGTAAAAATTGAAGAATATTTGAAACAGTTTGCAAAAGCTATCGAGCAGTTAACAGATTAATCTACTTATTTTTACATTTGAGGTGATCACTTAATCGAAGATAAGCTAAAGTGATTCATCTATTGATAAAAAGTATGCACAATATCGATTGACGGAGCTGTATATTATTAAACTGCATGCCATGGACACATGTATGTTGCAGCGATTCCACCTTGCGCCACTGTCAGCTGCTAATACCAATATAAATGCTGTTGCTCATTGAAAGTACTTATTCCAGCCAGTCATCTGGTTATAACGATAGAATAATTGTGGCTTTTGTACTTATTGGCGACTCCTTTCTACTTGATTACCTGCTGATTAAAAATCCCAAATACAGTACGCTCATTTTTGCACATCTAGTCCTAACTGTTTAGAATTGCACAGTAGATCATTTGACTTTTTAGTTAGCACATTAATTCGAAAACTTAATATTATCATATTGACGTCGGGATGAAGTCTGTCACTGGACAGTTGGATATACGTCCGAATTGTGAAGCTTTCGAAAATTAAATGAAAAAGTTTAAGATCTGGAGTATGACCAGGAAAGATGTTGAGGATGATAAAACTGTGACTCATTTCTTTAAATCCATTGGGAAGGATACATAGAGCTTACTAAAAAATTTGCCCTTTCCAGATAACCCTATTTTACTTCTTTTTGCAACTGTCGAAGAACTGTAGCGTGGAGTCGAGTCGCGGTTGACTATGAACACTACTACAAGAAGACTACATGCCAGTTAGCCGATAAAATCCCCCGTAAGCCATATATCAGAAGGCAGTTGATGGCTGTAATCGAGATGTATTTGTTGGCGATCTCGTGGTATCGAAAGAATACCGAGATCGTGTATAATGTTTTGAATTATTTGCATTATAGTACACACTAAGAGTCCCAGAAATAACGCAATTGAATCACGAAGTAAGACACAAACACAAACGCATGTACTGTATTTGGAATTCGAAATCAAGCATTCAACAAATACCAAGGTATCATTAGTTCATTCAAACACCACATCGTGCCAAGGGAGCACAAGCGTGGTTACCGAGCATAACCGAACCCGTACAAGGTCCCAATCAATGGGTAATGGAGCAGTAATATGGCTGTCTTTAGCACAGTGAAACAATCACTGGTACAATTGCTTATAAACATGATTGTTTCCATTAAACCAATCGCGTTCTCTTGATAACAGTAGGTCACTACAGGAGCTTCCCGCTAGAAAGGGATTACTTTTTCGATATGTAGCGGTTCTGTTTGTGGGACTGATCGGCAAACGTGCGGTTGTAGGAAGAAAGGATTGGCGAAACAGGTAGCGATTGTTGATCCTCGAATTGCCAATGAAGGTCTTTCACATAGAACGGTACCAGGAGAAGCGTGCTGAATTTGTTGCTCGAGCTAGCATACTACACCAGAGTGGTTTATATTCAAGGCCTGATGATTGCGTTCGTAGGGGTCCGGACCAGAAAACGCTGCAGACGCAGGGCGAAACCACGTTGAGCCGAGGAACCAGAAGCGACCATAACAACCAGGTTTGAGACCATACGTGTGCCAAACAGTCTAGACCAACATATCGACCGAGTGCGTTGACAAGAGCGTGAGTGATCAGGCCAACTTCCACCAAGGGTGACTGAAGTCAACGATACCAAATAGGCGATGGTCGGCGGCGTGGGCTCAGGATACAAAAAAAATCAAAAAAAGAGAAAAGTGTGGCATGCATGTAGTATAGGAATAGTCCTACACCGTATCTGTTGTTGACTGTGCGGTTGTTCGCGCAAGCATACGAGTAAGCATACTCGGCGACCGGAACGTGAGACGGTAGTCTCGTTCGTATTTCGTGAGCCTGCAATCTCATCTGAAGTCAAGGGCGGCGTGGTCTGCTGATCTGGACGTGTGACTGATGTCTCGTCCGTAGATGGTGGAGATGACACGTGCCGTTGGCTGGGACGTGAGAATGAGGTCTCAGGTGTATCTAGCATGAGACCTGAAGTACATGTAAGGATCCCGCTAGTATAATAGGTCTAGCATTGAGTCTCAAGTTATCGTGTAGGGCACTGTCATCGACGTGTGCTGGTTTGAGACGATCATTGCCGACGATCCCGACGCAGCCATGTCGATCAGCCCTGAAGGTCTTTTCGTGACGAAGGTCCTTCGTAAGTCTGTTGCAGTGGTTTGCGTACCGAATCTACTCGTATGAAAACATCTGAACAGGTAGATAACTCTCGAGGGAGAGCGACCTGTCGATGTTGTATATGAGTTGACACCAGAATTAACGTATCAAACCTGGAAAGGAACTTCATAAAAATGCCGAATTTTTCCTTCCAAGACCCTTGAAATGCACGTATTAATTATAAGGCAGTACATGAAATTAACTTCCAAGACACCCAAAATTCTACAAAATTACTTATTGATTTAATTCGATTATGAGCCAAGGCCATACAAGTAGGCTTTTGATTGACAATGACCCTCGTTCTCATGAAAACATGAATAGAAATTCACCAATTAGTTGCATAGAAAATTAAAAAGGTGAGAGAAGGTTTGATAAATATTCTTCCTGTGACAAATCTCACGTAATGTGTCTCTTGTCATGCTAAATGCCTTAGTGGCCCCGACACAGGTCAACACTTTTATTATCTTTCTAAATATACAACCTACCTATCATTTGATAAAGAGAATCGTGGTAGAGCCTTTGTGATCAAATAATTTTTGGGCTTCTCATTAATTTCTAGTGCATGGTTGTTTCGGCTGAAGGACAGTGAATTTGAACTTTGCCGTTTGATTGCAAGCAACTCACCAAACTGCCAAACGAACGATGTTCCACCACAAATCAAGTGACCAAATATAAAAACGGTCGCGAAAATTTGTAAAGTTAAAGTGGCAAGTCTCGTGATATTAAAAGCAGGAAAAGTCAGTTCATGAGGCCTAATAATAGTAACACACGAGATACTAGGCAGAAGCTTATAAAATGATAACACGAAATACGTATTTTGACCTCAGTTTATACTTTTTCGGTCTTAAGAAGCTCTTTCGTCATCCGATTGATGTTTGGATTACTACATGTAACCTCTTCTCAAAGTGATTGTTTTAATTACTCAATTTTGAAGGATATCATGTGACACAATCTTAAAGTTGCTGAGTTGTTGGCATTTCGGTAATGTTTGTGTCGTAGACTTGAATTACTAATGGGCTTATGTAAGTGTGAACGGAGACGGGTAACTAACCTGTTTTGCTTCGAGCACCGGGTCAATGTGTGTGAGTTTTGTTTGGTGGCAAATCACCACAAGGTATGGAAATGCTTGATGAGTTTTATTACCATAGTGCATTGTTAAATCCTATCTTCGATGGATAAAAGACAGTGATTTTAACCCATCATGTAGCCTTTGTCACGAGCCTTTCGAAGCGGATCCTTCCAAAAAATGTATTCGTTTGGTGTGCCTTGGTTTGTGAAATGTAGAACCTATATTTGAGTAAACGACTGTTTTTCTAGATGTTTTCCACTGGAATTGTCTCAATAATCATGTGATGAGCTTGCCACCAACAACAACCCCAGCAGGTTTTTTGTGCCCATTGTGTAGCCAACCAATCATTCCTCAGGCTAATCATGGCGGTCCTGTCGCAGAAGCGCTCAGATCATGTTTAAGCGAAGTTGATTGGGCCAAAGAAAGTTTGAACGAAATAAGGCCTTTTTTCCATCTGGAAGGTCATCCGAAGTCCACGTCAACGCCTAACATGAACATTTGTGCTTCAAGTGAGCTTTTGGTTCATATTACGATGGATTAGTTAATAGCAAGCTTAATATCTTCAACTGTTACCCAACTGTGGGTTTTATGTGACTGCTGTTTAGTAAATTCTATTTTGTATGGGCTTTGTTTTCATGATGATTTCCAATTTGACCAAATTCTCATTTACTGATTTTGGTGAAATGATATCTAGTCTCATATATAGGTAGTTTGTTTACCATAGTAGATACAATTGATTCCCTCATTTTAATATGTCTAAGATGACTAGCCTGTTGACTCGCGAAATGTTTGACACTAATGATCAAAGACAAGGCACTGATGTCTAAATAAGCCGTTCAATACGCGTGTATTTGGCTTATAGTTGGTCCAGAAAGAAAATGCCACTTAATACGTTTATGATGGTTATACCGGGATTTCGCCTGTACAAAACCAACGTGCAGTTTTTAAATATCTACCGAGTATGATAACTGATATCTGATCCCCGGAAAACAAGTTTTCGTTGCGGAGCTAAGTGACTTCTCTACCCTCCCATACTCTTGTCCAACATGCACCATGATATCTGTCGATCACGTCCATTCGTTGCAGATTTCATTATTTCTTTTATTCTGGTTACACTCTGCTAAGGATCAAGCAAAGCCCACAAAATAATACCATTCTCTCTAGATGCTTATTTGGTCAAAAGTTTTAGACTAACAGTACATGAACACAGTTAATTGTGCCATTTCGGCTATAGATATCAATGCAACAATAATCCTTGGAGCACAGAGTCTAGACAAAGTAATTTTGAATCCGACAGGTGAAAAATTGGGATTGTAGTGCTTTTCGGAAGTTTCATGAGAATGGCAGCACACCTTAATGTTAAGACCTTTCATAAAATTTCACTGTAACTCAGTCCCTTAAAACTCTACTGTTTAAAATAACTTGTCCAAGTGGTAAGCGAAGTTTCAAATTAGCCACACTAGTTGCCATATTTGTCTACAGCGTTAAAAAGCTACTATTTAAGTAAGATCGGGATTCTAGTTAGGTCAAGCTTTTGAGTGATAAGATTAAAGTTAAGGTGATTTAGTCAAACTACACGAAAGTAAATCGCAAACCTTTATAAAGTAATGAAGTGTGAGCATAACATTGTACTTAATTTTTGTAACCATGGCTTTATACGGAAGTTCAACCCTATCCATTTCGGATCGCCACTTATATGTGTAGTTATGTTACTCGGATGTAACAGACGCATATGACTTTCCTAAGTGACCCTCTGCTTTTGAAGCAAAAATGTAAGTATTTAGTTTATATGATCAAGAAACGCTAAAGAATCCATTCATATGATACTCTGTGATCATAGTAGGTTCCCTAGCATATATTTCTTCAGAGTCTTAAATCACATGTACATGACTAGTTCAGAATCATATTTCTTAATTTCCCATAGATAAACTCTCCTTCATACTCGGTTTTCTTTTGAGTGTGAAACTAACCTTATTAGGCTTTTCGTTTGATTTGTATTACTGTTGATTAACTGTTCAAACGGTTAGTTAATAAATACACAATCTAGTGTACACCATTTAAAAATGTTTACAAATAAGGAATCTTTTAGTAAAACATCTTAATATATTATGGAAACGATTCACCGTTTGGATACAGAGTCTTAGAGGAAACAAAGACAAGAAATAAGAGAAAGATGATTATCACGGCTAGTATAAAAGAGCAACAACTGTAAAATCACTATAGGAAGAGCAATCTTGTTAACGCATCAAACCCTCGACCGGGTTGTAGTGAATTCGAGTCTATCTTCCGTGGTACCACGTACGTAAACTTACATTTATTTAGTTGTTGTTATTAAATCCACAACTTATCTATGTAGCCCTAGTGATTTGCCACATGTCATCTAGCTAACAGTTTCGATATCTGGTCTTTGTACTGAATTAAAATAGCAACAATCCAGTCAAAAATAATTTTGCTTGAGGTGGTTGTTAAATATTGCCTACCCGTGTCTACCATATGATATGACATACTCTGGTAAATTAGGAGCACGGTAAGAAAAACCTCAGGTAGTTAGTAGGGTTATGATTTTATTCCATGAGCTCTGACTGATTTTCTAAACCTTGTAGGGTAATGTAGGGCCTCCGGTTGTAATCATCTAAATGTTCGAAATTAACGATTGAACACATTGTTCTTGTTAGTAATATTTTGTATAGCAAATGTTAATCAGTGTGCTTATTGATTACTTTGATTATCTGTGACGTACTGATCCTTTCGGTGCCTAAAATGCAAATAGCAAATCATTGGGTTTTCTGTAGACTGACTTCATGTAGGGACAGTATGTTTTCGTATCTGACGTTGTTGACCACCTGATCTAACCATTCTCGCTATATATATGTCGATTTCAATTTTAGATCCAACAGATGGAAAGCTTTTCAATTCATGTCTAGATGTAGCTGCAAGACAATTCTTGAAAGGACATGACGTTACAGATATATTGGAGAGTCCTCAGAAGACAACAGGATTCCAGATAGACAATTCTAAGGACACTAATATGTATACTGATATTTCCCAGCTACATTATCAACGAAGAGATCAGCCATCGTTAAACTCCCAGAAGCTGTTCATGCCTGAAAATGATGATAATGATAAGTATAAACGACATCTAACATTGGCATGGTTCAGACGTTTCCTCCGGTAAGATTACCTCTCCCCCAACTGTCGTTCTTTGCTTGTCGCCCTAAAACATTTGACAAACTAGGTTTCATTTACTAAATATTACAAACACCTGAGATAATTAGATTATTTACAGAGGACAGACTCCTCCAACATTATGATATACAATACATATGATAGCTAAGTCTGAAACAGTAAGAATTATTAAAATATCGGGTTAAATTTTCAATAACAAGACATTAGGCCAATTTATTTATCCTTTAAGAACTTTTTCATGTTATCTCCGCTCTGTGGTCGATTTACAAGACAAATGAGTAAAAAACTGAACTTTCAGATATCAATTATCACATTATTAGAAGGGTCGACACTTACTACTTCGTTAGCGTTAGGTTTATTAAAAAACTAGTTCATTGATTCTATGATTATAATTATTCATCATTAATGAACATTTCATTATCGTTTATCTTAAAATGTATATTTGGTCTACCATAACTCATGAGCAATAAATGTTGACCTAGAATAATCCACAGCTATCGATATAAGCAGATGTTTTTGTCAAATCGTACTACTCAAATAACTTCTGTATTAAACTTTACATTCCTTTAAACTTTGACACTTTATTCATGTAATTAAAAATAGTTTAAAGTTTATTTTATGTCAAAACATCGAAATCTATTGTACAACATTTATTTCCGTTTGATATTATGAATTATCTTTTCTGTTTAGTGCTCAGCAATGGTTTAACAGCTTATCGACCTCGAATGCAAACTAATTCTTGTTTTCATATAATTTGATCTCTTGATAAACTTAGACAGCAACGACAACAAGGTTTACAGAATAAAATGAATTCATTCTATTTCACGGTTTATTATCATCTACATACAACCCAAACTTACAGTTATTAATATAAATATAATTATTAATGAATGTTTAGCATACTTCAGTTTGTGAGGTCTAGATAGATGTTCGAACAGTAACCGAAATCATTCGTGCTTTCTTCTAAGGATTTCATTTTTATATACACAAAAACTACGTCAGAAGTTGAGAGAATATTTGAGTTCCTGTATATGCTGAAACTAGCAGTCTTTTCATTTGAAAACTAACATATTTTAGTATAAAGTAATTTTCCTCATATGTATGTATAGTTATTATTGATATTATTATGGTTATTTATTTTCTTCTCCAGGAGGCATTCATCACACTTTACACGTTTATCGGTTATTCGACGAAATCGTCTTATTCTATTAATTATGGGTTGTATAATATGTATCTTCCTACTGGGTTTTTATGGTTCTCAACCGAAGGATATCACTGGTGATCCATTATTAGATCCTCATATGAATCCAAATATTCATTTTAATCTGGAACCTATAGCTTCAGTAAAAGAAGTCTTAAATAATAATCTTAATAAAGATAGAGATAGACGTGTTATTAATGGGTTGAATGAAGCTTAATTATTCAGTAAGATGGTATTTTTTCTAAACACTAGCTTCCTTATTGTGATTCGAATCAATTGACAGTTTAGCTTAATGTAACTAATCATTTCATCTTTTATTGTCCAGTTTATAATTTTTCTTATTTCTTGTTATTAAAATCGTCAGACGTTTTTAAACTTTGAATAGACGACTTACTATTCATCTTCTGTTTAGTTAGGTTCGAATGTACATGTTTGATTGTCAGTCAATCGTATATTCTGATATGTTTTTTATACTTTTCCTACTCACTCCTGATTATCATTAATGTAATACTATCTTTGTTTGACCTTATTTTAATGACTGTGTGATGGTGAATAGTGATTAATACGCCTTCCTTTATGGTTTAATAACCTCCCGTAACTTATTATCTGATAAGAACTGATATTCAGGCTTATGCTTGTGTGTCCCCGAGTTTTTTCCTAGCGAACATATAGTATCCAACATCCGTCTAGGTTTTGTATTGGTAATCTGATCTGTACAAGGTATTTTAAAATATTTAAAAGATCACTACATTTGTTTTGAAATTTTCCTGGTTGCAGATATTAGATTTTAAAAACTACCAACAACTGCGGAACTAATAGCTTTTTATGAAATAAGACCGTAAGAAAAAAAACGTTAGGAATCGTAAAAACTAATTGATGATGGGTGTTCCCAACGAAGTGGAACTGTACTGCAGCCCTAAAAGGAACAATTCAAGGATGTGCAATGGAAAAACAGTAGATCAATATGACAGCCCCTATAATCAAGGGCAAAGTCAGTCAGCTGCAACGTAGGAGTGGGCACATATATACATCGGTCCAAGTTGCCACACCTCATTAGCACAACAAGATGAACACTGAATTCATAGAAGTAGTGACTTTAACGGTAGTAATATACAAAAGAAAGATTATGTGTAAGGATATGTTACGAGAAGAAAGAAAGCAATTTTAACATCAAGGTTTAAGGGAAGACAGTGTGTGTACACCTATGCTATTGTGATCCATTCTGAGCCATGTCTTTAAGAGTCTCCAACCATTGGTTATGATAGTCGCACAGACCCCAGACAAGTTGTCTGCATCTACTAACATAGCTCAGAACAGAAGTTAGTGACTTCAAGGAATGATGCCACGTTTTATATTGGTTGTCACTAACTTCCTTCCAACTATCCCCAACACAAGTCAGCATTGCGCGTCGTGGTTATCGGTGTTCAGGCATATGTAACACGGTCCAACTATCTCAGTCGATGAAGAATAACAACCTCATCAACTGATTTACCGTCATTACCTAATACCCTGCGTTTAACCTCACTATTACTTACCCGGTGATCCCAGCAGACCCCAGCAATATTTCTGAAGCATCTGTGGTCAAATACTAATAGTTTACGAGTAACTTCTACTCTTAATGGCCACGTTTCGCAGTCGTAAAGTAAAACAGAACGAACTACCGAGCATTACACTCGTTCTTCTATTGTTAGACTGATATCTCGTCTTCGCCATTAGTGAAGTAAGTTGGCAAAAACCAAACGAGCTTGCTGAATACGTGTAGAGGTTTCTTCCGGCACCAATCCATCAGGGTTGAACAGATAAGTGAACTTCCTGGTCGGAGATTGATGCCCGGAAATTCAGTCGACAAGAACGTTGTTTCCATCAGTAAGTCTATGATGAAGTTAAACAGAAATGGAGATGGTGAACAGCCTTGACGGACACCATTTGAGGTTGCAAAATCAGATGACACTTTGCCGTAGACTCCGACTCAACTAGTAGTGTTCGAGTAAAGGGCCCTTACGAGGTTTATGCACTACTGAGGTACACCACAGAACCTCTCGGTCTACAGATTCAAGTGCCGCTTTTGATTCAGAAAAGACCACCACTGTCGGATGCCGATAAGTATGCCTGTGTTCTAAAAGCTGGCGAATGGTGAGTATGTGGTCAATGCAGCCACGACCAGGTCTGTCCCATTCAGGCTATTTGGGAATGGTGGGCAGCTACAGGCCATCTGAACTGCCTTTTAAAGTGTTCCGTTCACTGTTCTAAACATCTAAACTGGGAGCAGTCAAGAATGTCGTTCTTCGAGATTGTCTGACTTACACGTAACTTCTTGATTCCGGTTCCTTTTATTAATCTGATAAGCTATCTTGTGTTACCTACATCCGCTACCTTTTCCATCTCTTCCTTTCGTTGCCCACCACTGTTCACCATCGTTCCGTAGACTTTCAGTTGATCTAGATGTTAATTTTTTTCGCTCGTCATCGTGTTCGGAGCCTGATAGGATAAGTTCACGAGAGTATATTGGTGAGAAAGTTGTAGCAGAAATCCACAGGTTTCTCGAGACCCTTTAGTTCAAATCACTAATAGAAGTCACCGCTGCTTCCACAGATGTTCGAATATCTTCTCAAGCAACATCTGGGTCAGCTTCGTTTTTGAAATTTCACGGAATTTACCCTCAGTTTTCTCGTCGCTCACTTCAACTCGAATGGGTATTTTTAATGTGGCTTATCTCTGTCCAGTGAGGTGCAAGCAGATGCGTACTCGTATTAGAGCATGATCGGGGTCCAGACAGGTATTCAAGAACGAGTGACAGTCTTCTATCGACTTTCTCAAACGATCGCCGATGGCAATATGGTCTATTTGAGTCCATCGTTGGTTTGCTGAAAGGGGTCGCCATGTAAGACGATGTCTCTCTTCATGCTTAAAATTAGTGCTTGTTAGAAATGAACGATTTTCTGAGCACAGTCGCAGCAGGTCACCATTATTTGTTTGGTGAGCCGGAACACTAAAAAATGAAGATTTACAAACTCATCAACTGATTACCATCAATATCTAATACATTGCATCTAACCTCACTATTGCCCAGTGATCCCAGCAGATTTGAGGAGTATTTATGAGACTTCTGTGATCAAATACCAGTAACTTATGAGTATCCTCTACCCTTAATGGCCACGTTTCGAAGCCATAAAGTAAAATAGAACGAACTGCTGTGCAATATACTCGTCCTTTAATTGATAAACGGATATCTCGTTTTCACTACAGGTGACGTAAGATGGGAAATATCAAACTCAGACAATGAGAACGTTGTTTTCACCAGTATGTCTATGAAGTCGAACGAAAATGGAGATAGTGGACAGCAGACGGTCACCATTATTTGTATGGTGAGCCGGAACACTAAAAACGTCCATCTAAATGTATTTCTGCTTGGTTCGAGCTATCAACTTGAGCATAAAAGTCACCTGCTACGAATACTATGCCTGAGTGTTTAGCTCTCTGAAGTAGTTCAGAAGGCCTTTTGTGAAACCCATCTTTTACTTCATCCTGGCTTCAGTCAGGGGGAGAGTAGGCAGAAATTATCAAAACGTAACGACGTCTGTCTCTATCCTTCTGACTTCTTACGGAGCCATTTATCCGAACAGCACATAGACGATTGTTAACGTAAATCCATTTCAATAGTGTTGTTCTACCCTCGTCCTTAGTGCTATGCCTACACCTGTCAGTTCACGAGCACTAGCAATCGGATCGCCAGATACACGGAGGGTGTATTTCGTCGGTCCTCCGTTTTGGTGAGATGAGGTTGTAGATCACCAACGTAGATGATCTATGTCGAAATGATTGGAGGCCTACTCGAGTTTGATGTGAATGGTGTGACAAACTAGCTAACGTCGAAGTCACACCACATGGTCAGCAGCTTACGTGGACTACCTCATTGACGTATCAAGGTACCAAAGATGCTCTGAAGACTGTACAACACAAAGGACGTTATTACAGAAATATATTAGTTAAAGTAGATACAAACGAAAGTAAGACCACTACCGTATGGACCAGTCCATGGCATACGATTAACTAATGCGCGTTGGTTGTACATGACATTGGCAAGGAGCGATGATCTGTTCGACATTCAATGATCCAACTGCCGGATGATTTGGCTAGGGCTCAGTGAAATTTCACTGGCCAAACAAGGTCAAGTGAATGACAACACTAGGATTCCGTATGTGCGTTTCGGAGGCACAGTGTACATCAATCGAATGAGATTCTAAAGTCTTAGCGAAGGAGGCCTGCTGGTAAATTTTACATACGGTGCGTACGTTGCGAACTCCAAAGTGTTGTTTGGAGTGAGGTTTCAGTAGACTTTGGCTATGGTGGCACTTGAGGAGGAAGCCAAAAGTGGAGGTTTAGAGTAGAAAGCCAACGTAGGAGGAATAATAGGAATTGAAGAGGGAGATTGGTTATGAATACAGTGATCTTGAATGTTGTTAGAGGTATGAGGGCGGTTATCATTTCCCCGTTGCCTATACCGTTAACAGGTTCTTCTGGAAGTACCTCAAGTTGAAATTGGGTTAGAGATGATCATAGTGACCTGAGAGCGTAACTGCAGTACCCAAGGGACAACTGGTTGAGGTCGGTCACACATGAACATTTTGTTAATAATTTTCGTGTTAGCTCCGTACTTTTTGAGACCTTACCCGTGAGACAAGACGAGGTGTGCATTTTTTGCACCGGCCTTTTCTAACCTCACCCCTTGTGGGAAGGCCGAGCCGCTGTTATGCTGGTTGTCTGAGGGGAACACTTCACGGCTACCACAATTCTGTACAGTCAGCAGAACAACTTCGGACCTTCGGTTTGCTACTTTTAGTCCGCTCTTCAGCTGATCTTGCGGAACGATCGTTTCAGCCAGTATAGCTCGATTGGTTCATTATGATAGGCAAGCCCAACCACCACGCCAAGGTAGCAGCAACGGTCAGGCAAGGGTTGGATAAACGGAAAAGTCTACCTATCAGGAAATAATGCAGAGGAAGAAAAATGATCAATTATTTGTACCCTGTAGGATGGATTAAACATTACATATATATGTATATATATATATATATATATAATAGATTAGACGGTAAAATCACTAGTCAAGGGCAAACGAGGCTCCAGTGTCATACACTATGCGATTGAGAGGGACTCGCTTACACTCAGACACGTACATATAGGACTATGTCCGAAAAGGATTTAAGAGATATTGTTCGTCTCTCGAGCAACGAAAACGAAATGACGTCTGCGAACATTCTGATACCCTTGGCCTCAGAACGCACATCCTTCATCTGGACAGGTAGAGAAGAACAAGAAGACAAATTTCCTATTTTACATTTCCAATTTTACTCATCAGAGCACAATGTCTTAGTTTTACCAAAGCTAGGACAAGTAAGCCATTTGGCTTGATAAACTTTGTCTGTTTCTGAAATGCGAATTAACACTTTTAGTACATAGAAAACAAATGGTTCAGTATATTAGACAGAAAAAGACAAATAGCATACCAAACAGTAACAGGACAATGGGAAAAAATGAGCCAACAAACGTTATATCGTTTATGATTAACATGAAATATATGACTGGTGGATAAACAAGGAGTGGGTATTTATTGCTGTCGTTGGTGGGCCCGTTTATCGGTCGTACGCCACAACCCCCTCGAACAACACACCACACCTGTTGTCCTGCGTCTTTGTCGTTGAACAACTGGCTTCTTCAAGTGAGCATACGTTTTGTGCGTCCCAAACGACCTCTTTGGTTGTCATCCTCAATGTCTCCGTTCGAACCCGTTCGCCAGGGTTGTATCTTACTTGCTCAAAAACCGCTTTAGGCCATTAACTACTAGTTGCTGTCATAAATCATAACTTTTCAGAACGTGATGGAGGAGATTTCATTATACTTCAAAATTATAGGCCTAAGAATCTCCAATATAACACTCGAAATAAAATTAGTTATCACTTAGAATTATTTGTTCACCTCTTTGTGTCCTCGATTTCTCCAGTTTGTGATAACATCACTCCACACTAAATCCATTCAGCTTATAACGACCAATATGCAAAGATCATTATTTGGCCGGATGGTCAGTTTGATGCTCTTAACTGAGGGCATACTTTCCACAGATATGTAAAGATATTTTTTGTTTGGGTTATTTGAAAATTATCTCCTCAAGCTACATTCTGACGTTTTTAATTATTCGCTTACCAGTCATGACTGTCTTCATGCAAGTGCATGTTTGTTCGTTTTCTATCTTACTCATCACATGTCTGTAACTTGTTTTTATCTGACTATAAAAATCATATAACGCTTGACTACATCACGTTCGCACCACTTCTAGTCATTTCGTCTCGCTTCTCTCTCTCCTTGTTCTTCCTTCTCTGCGATCCTCCGATTGTCTGTTCAGATCAACACTTGTACGAGCTATGTAGACTTGAAAGTCATTCTCGTATTTGATTTATTTAATTTCGTCTTTTATTAACGTGATTTAAGTCAAGAATTATATACGTTGATTGGCGACATGTATATTTCAATAACAATCAGAAACGACCCAAATGAAATCAGATTTTGAGCCACTAAAACCACTTAATAGTCGCCAAATTTGCTCGAACAGCAACAAATTAAGTGACTCTTATCGGTACTAATTTCAAATCACTTCTCATTTTGTTACTTCGAGTTTTACATATTCACGAGAAGTCATCTAATAGGACGGTGAAATGCCAGTTTAAAAATAAAAACTTTTCTATGGTTCACTTGAGCAACCAATAAAAGGGGAAATGATGATGAAAGTTAGTTAGAAAATAAAAGGAAAATAAGGGGTAAATGCGATAGAATGTCTGCTTTATCACCTGTCATAGGGAAATATTGCTGAATTTCCTCTTGTCTATTTTACACCTAAATACACCTCAAATCGTCTACTTTTTAAATCCACTTTTCGTCTAACCTCAATTGTCTCCTATATTCACCTTTATTAACATAACAATCACAAGAAGAGTAAAACTTACAGCAATGCCTTTCTAAAACTGCAGTTTGACTATCGAGAAGCAAGGTAATCTCCCTAAGGATTCCGAAATTTAATTAACATAAAAAATTGCAACGATATCTGACTTCCATAGTTTGTTAAATAACTGTCTACGTGAAGTGTTACTTACGGTCATGTTAGTTAATACTAAAAATTGCACCTTTAGGACAGCAATGAATGGTTATAACTTTAAGGAAACACACAAATTGTAGCGGTAAATAAATCCCCAAAATAAATAGCTCTGTAAGTTTTCGACATTGGATGCTGACCATATGTTTTAGTGGACTCATCTAACTGAAGGCGCTCGGTCAGGCATCCGCACCAGATCACGTGTGGTAACGCCGTGCTCAACATCAACCGCAATCGCCAGCCAGATTAGATCAGAGAATTCCGATATACTGGTCATCGCCAAATATACTCTTCCGATCTCCTCGACTCTGCCTTTTGCTTTATCTGGGTGGGAACGAAATATATTAGAAGGTGTTACTGGTAAAAGCGTTGTCAAACACTGAATACCTGTGACATCATTAAAATGTTCTTGTTCTCCTCAATGACGCTTTTGTATTTTGTTTCTCACATCGTGAAAATGCCCTTGAATCGCGATGTCATACAGTTTCGCGAGCTCTTTTCTGTTTATGGATGAGGAAAGAAACCGTAAAGTTAATGCGCCTTAAGATTAGAAAAATAGTTAAAATTTCGCATGCACTTTGAAAACCTGCTCTTCTGAAGTACTCTTTTAAAAGAAAAGCCAAGTAAAGTGAAATGGTTGGCAAATCCAGGTGTCATGAAGTAATGACAAAATATGGCGTACGGACGTTTTGGGATTATCATCCATAAACCGCGTCAGCATGGCCATCGAGGATATGAACAAACAACCCAATGAATTTTGTTGACTTAAAAATTTGTCCTTTATGTCTTCGTCCTGAAGATATGAGTACAATGTCCTCAATCCCTTTTCAAATGAGAGAAGGGAATGCATGTACTTGTCTTAATTTGGTCAATTTACTCATCCTCCACATCTTTTGAATCCCTGTATTTTCGGTCTATCTTTTTTTGAGTGGCAAAATATATATTGATAAAATGCTTTAAGACTACAAGAGAGACCTGATGTGGTACTGCGGTAAAGGAGAACACAGGCGGGGATAACCAAATGAATTTCAATACAACATTAAAAAATTTCTTGATAAGATCTGAGGACCACACAATGAATAATATATTTGAAAAATATCCATAAATTATCTCAGACTTTATCGTTTCTTCACCCATTCATCAACCACTCTCTGTTCTCATTTTTCTCTCTTCGGTTTTCCCAACCTTCTTCCTCCAGGCATCCCACTTTCGATTGGCGTGTAGCGTGGTGTCGAGTTGAGATTAACTATGAACACCGCTACCAAGAAACACGTGCCAAGTAAATCAGAAGGCGTAGGTTGAGCGTAACCAAAGAAATCCATAAGATCCCCGAGAAGCCAAATATCAGAAGGCAGTTAATGGACAAAGTCGATATATATTTGCTGGCGATCTCGTGGTATCGAAAGGATACCGAGATCGTGCCAGGATACAAGCTTGGTTACAGAACGTAACCGAATTCGCGCGAAGTTACAATCAAATTGTAAGAATAAGAATGAAAGCACAATATAGCTGTCATTAGCACAGTCAAACAAAAGCACATTAAAACAAACACTGGTACAGTCGGTTATAATAATAATTGTTTTTATTAAACCAGTCGTGTTCTCGTGATAAATGTGAGTCACTACAGGCGATACATACTACTTATATCTGTTGACATCAACAACACACATCACAGTACTACTTCTGAATCATGAATAATGGATTATCTAAAACGCCAAACCAATGTCAACGGACATTAGATTGATCAGTGCGATTCATCCGACTTTTAACCACAACATAATACTAGGAGGGCTGCATATATTTAGTGTTTGTGTTGCTAATTAAGATGCTCGATAATGAGTGAATTCAGTAAGAACTTAATTGAAAATATTGCCGTGTGTCTAAATAATTAACCAGACCGAAGTAAGCAGTAACAGTAGATAGAGTCACTTTGTATTGTGGACGAATGGACGTCGAAGAGGACATAGGTGGAAATAGTACTGAATTAATACACTTAGTAGTCACATGCTTGACCTCATCTTGCGTAATTCAAAATTTATTACGCGCTCTTATAAATTATACATGTCTACATTAATTACCACAACCTCCACTTTAAAATCATTCGTAAGTGCATCAGATTACTATTGGATATTCATTAAGGTCGCCGCCTCTTTTGGTATCATCGGAACACAGAAGGCAATGGGCTCGAATGAGGAAATCCTAAGTGCTCTGAAGATCCTCCAGAAGTACAATTTAAAAGTAGAAGCCTTTAAACTTCAGTATTGTTTTTAAAGGAATCGGAGCTTGCTTTAAAACAAGAAGCTGGTCTCATTAATGAAAAAATTGCTGAGGAATTTCTGAAATTTAAAGCGTCAGTTACTTCTACTTTTTGTTACGATCCTTCAGTCAAGTAAAGGATGAACCAGAGAACTTTTGCGCTAACTACCAGTCTGTTCTCACATTTATGGATTCGGTTCCTGATGTGCATAAAGTAAAAACTACTTAGTTCTAACGGGTTGCGTACCTTCAGGTGGAGTTGTCTACGTTACTCTTCCCTATATTTGTCCATATGTATCTCCGTCTCATCAGTGGAAACATTTGTGGAGAGGGTAATTTTATTCGTTTTCTTATGAAGACAGCCAAAAAGTTCCTCATAACTTTCAGGAAATATCAAGAAGATTTTTACCAGTCAGATATTAATATGCTATCGAACATTACTAGTTCACAACACTTGTCAATGAATCCTTTGATTGAATCGTTTAGAGCTTCCGAGTTTGTTGTCAGTGTTTCGGCCGAGTCTTATTCACTTCTGCGTCAGTTTCTTCAAGATAAAGAAATGAATGTCATTCAAAGTATTTTAAAGGAACAGTTATCACTTGAAAGTAAGGATGCACTACATGTCTCAAATCTCTAGTCGTCAATGGCCCTCCTAGGTCAAAGCTCCAAGTCGATTGCCGTCGTGGTGCTTTATTTGGCGAGGCTCACTTTGACGCTAACAAAGAACCTGTTTTGTATGGCCTTCTAAGAGATCCTACATTAGACTTACCAGCCGAAATGGATACTGATCCTAGCTTCAATGACATTGATGGGAGCAATGTAGATAATAACGAAGGTAATTTGCTCCTGAAATCCCTCACAGAAAATTACATTCATATGCTCAAATCGCAATATTTTGTAATGACTTATTCCTGTGTGAATATAATTTATACCTGCCAAACAAGCACTAAATTTGACAATTTATGTTTAAATGCGATTGCATACTCACTTTTATTGCAAATATTTTCTAGTATCCAGAGGACTAATGACATAATATTGTAATTATTTCACTCTAATAGTGATTAAAATGTTGCCCAAAGTGATATGTATGTTCCTGGTTGTCTTTTTTAGATAACGGGGATCAGAGTGTTGCGAAAAAGAAAAAACGGAGGGATGGTATGACGTCAGGTTCTGGACATCCTGGTAGACCATCTCTTTCGAAAGATGTTAGCAAGTCTGACTCCAACTCTCCAGCTCTTGATCGAATTCCCCTGCCTAAGGTAGTTTCTATTTACTTGTTGCTTGTTTTATAATCGATTGTCATCAATTTGTTTTGGAAAAGATTTGTATTTAGGATACCGAGATTTCTAAAGCTAGCATCAGTTTAGTTGCCTAAATCACATTTAGTTTGCTCTGTCCCGAAAGCCTGTTGATACTTGAGTTCTGTTTACGTTTGTTCAATGATAGATGTTTTTCATGTGTGGACTTATGTCGTTTATTCATACTCAGTACTTTCATTGATCGTGTATTTTAAAGGCTGTATTTTCTAAAAGTTATTTCGAAACAAAAGTTCAAACTAAATTTGGATGTAGATTAACAAAAAGTCCGCAACCACCATGAGTGATGGTGGTTTACTTGTTTCCGACTCGCGCATCCTACAAGTAATTTATTTATTTATTTATTTTAACACATAGACATTGGTACAAGGAGGCACCAAATACATATGCGCCACACAAATCTCATTCGATAGGTGTGAGGGCTGTGATACTGCCCGGGTGCCCAAACCGAAGCAGGTGGTTTTCTTAGGGGGCCACACCCCGAGCCTTCGACCTGAAGGTCTGATCCACAAGGCAGTGGAGCATTGTAAGGAGATGCAGTCCCATGGAAGCCGGTGACCAACAATTGGTTCATACGCCATTTGTTCCCGCAGGATACTGGAGCCCATGTGCACCATTGGTTTGGAATCCGGTTAAAGCGCCGGACATTCGGTTTTCGTCCTCTCGTTTTCGTAAACAACACCCCCCCCACGAGAAGGCAGCGAGTAGGACTTCCCTGGCAGAGGCTGTATACGCGTGGCCATGTGAGAGCATTTCGAGAGGGAGAGCGGACTCTCCCCACTCTCGGCCGTACCAGGGCATTTGGGGGCATCCTACAAGTAAGATTATTGAGTAATCGCATTTCGTACTCTAAGCGAAGAATTTCCGTTCATCAAATCAACTTTTTTGCAATTAGTATAATTTATGATCAAGATTAGCACAGTAAAAGAGCTTTTTCTCTGTAAATTCCATGTATGAAGGTAAGTTGATTGTCAATAACTGTATACTGTGGTTTGCGACCATTAATACTTCTATGTTCTAGCTGTTGTAAATTTATAATTTTCTAGCTGCGCGAGTCATACATTGAAAGCAAACAAGCTCTTTCACGAGAGATATCTACTCTCCTACGTAATTATCAACAGCGAAATCCACAAAAGTCATCAATCGGTACAAGCACAGTCCTTTATACAATATGCAATGCTCAGGCTGGTGAGTCAACCCTAGCTATTCGAAGAGGTGGTGTTACATGTTGCAGTTTCAGTGATGACTCATCACAACTAGCTGCTGGATTCGGATCAGGTCGTATCCGTGTTTGGTCTTTAGGCCCCGAATCATTAAGGCGTATGCTTCCGGCTTCAGAGTTGAGCTTACTGGATAAAGATGACTCTAGAGTAAAAACTAATATGTTATATGACGAAAATGAGTAAGTCATTTTTGAGTGTCTATTTGCTGGTCGTCGTTTTCCGAGATTTTCTTAAGCAGTTCCATTTTCAGACAATCTGTTACGTTATTTTTCTGCTAAATATCCTATTCTATGTACATGCGTACCGATTATACATTGCACTCGACTGAATGAATCATTCTATGTAGTTTTATTAGGTCTAAACCTTCCACTAGTTAGTCAGTCATAATCAGCATAGGACCCGCCACAAGTGTCTATTAGTTGGAGTAACCATAATCAACACATGGAGATGAAATTTACAAGATTAATACCGATGAGCTGAAATGACTGTAGTAGCACCGATAATAAGAGATAACCTTGAGAATATGGTTCGAGAATAGGGAATGAAATGGTGTAATTCCATCTGTTGCTTTAAAAATATAACCTCCATTGAAATAATAAAATAGATATGCAGCTTAATTTATTTACTCTTATTTTGCTTACGTCAATTATAGTTTGTAACTTCTCAACGTTTTTGGCTCTTATACTGACGATGGTCCTCGTTATTTAAATCAATGATTTTTTTTAACGAGCTGAAATGGTTACTTTGAAAGGCTGTCTAAATAAACCTGATATGTGTAACTACTCATTCTTAGCAAACCGCGCTGGCGACATATAAAAAGCAAATAATAGTTGAACAATAGCTATTCACCTACTCGGACTCATAGAAGCCGTTCAAGATATTGACCATAGTTCATTTAGAAGTCCGATACAGAAACTAGATTACTTAAATTGTTATAATTTAGATCTAAAATGATGTAAGACATCATAAACTACATCAATAAAGTAGTTGCATGGAGTTCTAATTGTGAACGAAAAACAAAAGGGTGAATATAAACAAGGTAGTAAGTGACAGCTATAATTTGCAATCTCTTCACTCAACAAGTTGGTGACTTCATGACATTGTCGACGTAAGTGATTCAGCACAACAGTTGTTGGCTTGTTATTTCCATCGTTACAAGTTTGTATGGCTCCTTACAACTCATCGAAGCCCGTCAGTCTACTCCGGGTGACCGTGAGTTCGACCACAAACGGAGGCGGTTACGTAATGAAATTGGACAAAGCTTGCGTAAGGACCAAGAAGCCTGGTGGCCGGAGAATACTAATGAGCTGGGAGCAGCAGATGCATCTGGTAACTACCGGAAGCTCTTCCAACTCATCCGAGCCACTGGCAGCAAGAAGTCTGGTGTGAGTGAAACAATCTGCGAAGATGATGGGATGCCAATCACTAACATCCATCGACGTCCTGGACGATGGGCAGAATTCTTCGAAGGGCAGTTCAACTGGCCTGCTGCTCCGGCAACATCGGTCAGACTGTCCTGCCCTCCATGGCCGGTGACGACTGATCCACCAAATGAGGCGGAAGTCTTCAAGGAACTCCAAATCTTGAAGCGTTACAAATCACCCGGTCCAGATAACTTACCTCCGGCTCTTTTTAAAGATGGTGGTGACTTTCTGACTAAGGAACTGACTGTGTTATTTACAAAGGTTTGGGAGTTAGAGAGTGTACCAACGTCATGGAATGAGTCGATAGTTGTCCTTATCTTTAAAAAGGGTTAATGTCGTTCCAGTAACAACTATCGAGGGATAAGTCTACTTCCGACTGCGTCCAAGCTATTGGCTTCCGTCATACTTCGTAGGTTGTTCAAAACCCGAGAAAGATTGACTCGCAAGGAGCAGGATGGGATTCGTTCTGGTCGAGGATGTTCTGACCATATCTTCACCCTCTGCCAAATGTTAGAACACCGCCAACAATTGCTAAAACCCTAGAATCTCGTACCACTGATGTATGCTGTGTCTCTGAAACACGCATACAGGATCCCAGTGTGGTCATTCACTCGACCTCACCTCGGCAAAACGGAGAGCCAACGAGATACACCCCCCGTGTATCTGGTGACCTGATGGCCAGCTCTCGTGGACTGGCAGGAGTAGGGATAGCACTAAGCATGAGAGTGGAACAAGCACTGTTAGAGTGGATCCCCGTCAACAGTCGTCTATGTGCTGTTCGGCTAAACGGCTCCGTAAGAACTCTGAAGGATAGGGACACACGTCGTTGCCTTTTCGTCGTTTCTGCCTACGACCCCACCGACTGCAGCTCAGATGAAATGAAAGATGAATTTTACAGAAAGCTATCTGAACTTCTTCACAAAGCTAAACGTTCAGACATAGTACTCGTAGCAGGTGACTTTAATGCTCAGATAGGTAGTTTAAACCAAACAGAAAGGCATTTAGGTGGGTATTTTAGTATTTCGGCACAACGAACAGATAATGGTGATCGTCCGCTGCAACTGTGCTCAGACACTCGTTTATTTTTAGCAAACACAAATTTTAAGCATAAGGAGAGACATCGTCTAACATGGCGACCGCCTGCACCAAGCCAACGATGGACTCAAATAGACCATATTGTCATCAGTCATCGTTGGAGAGGGTCGGTGGAAGATTGTCACTCATTCTGGAGTACCTGCTTGGACTCTGACCATGCCCTAATACGGGCACGCATCTGCTTGCGCCTCACTGGACGCAAAAAGCCACATTAAAAAGACCCATGAGAACTGAATTGAGTAGCGAGAAAACCAAAAGTAGTTTCCATGAACAACTGAGGTCACAATTAGGTAGTTCTGAAAACGAGGTTGACCCAGATATTGCTTGGAAAGGCATACAATCAGCTGTGGAAACAGCAGTGACATCTGTTAGCGACTTAAACCACAGAGTAACAAAGAACCAGTGGATTTCTTCAAAGTCTATCACACTGATGGATTCTCGCGAACTCGTCCTATCAGGTTCCGAACATGATGAAGAGCGACAACAAATCAGATCTGGGTTAAGAAAAAGTCTAAGAAACGACCGTGAGCAGTGGTAGGTAACGAAAGCAAAAGAGATGGAAAAGGCGGCGACTATAGGGAACACAAGACAGCTATATAGACTAATAAAAGAAACTGGAATTAATAAGTCAAGTGTAAGTGAGATTATATCGGAAAAAGACGATACTCTCATCTGCTCCAAGTCCAGGCGTCTAGAACGATGGGCGGAACATTTTAGGGAACAGTTCAACTGGCCTTCAGCGACTCTACAACTACCCTCCATTCCCAGACAATGTGAATGGAACATTGAAGTAGGTCCCCCAACTCTTGCTGAAGTTCAAAAGGCTATAGTTAATCTGAAACGAGGAAGGGCAGCTGGTCCAGATGGATTGGCTCCAGAAGTCTTTAAGGATGGTGGCCCAATTTTAGCGATTAGGTTGACTAATATTTTAGCTAAGATCTGGGAGTTCGACGTTGTTCCATCTGACTGGTCACAATCACTTATCGTCCCAATATATAAGAAAGGGTCAAAATCATCCTGTGACAACCACAGAGGGATTAGTTTAACTAATATAGTATCTAAAATACTAGCCTCGATAATTATCATACGCTTAACTAAGACTCGTGAACTGCAAACACGAGAGAACCAAGCTGGCTTCAGACCTGGTCGTGGCTGCATCGACCACATATTCACCATTCGTCAGGTTCTAGAACACAGGCATACTTATCGACGTCCGACAATGGTGGTCTTTCTTGACTTGAAAGCAGCATTTGACTCGGTAGACCGCGAGATTCTGTGGCAGCGAAATATGGCCATTAAGAGTAGAAGATACTCGTAAGCTACTAGTATTTGACCATAGATGCTTCAGAAATATTGCTGGTGTCTGCTGGGATCATCGGGTAAGTAATAGTGAGGTTTGACGCAGGGTATTAGGTAATGATGGTAAATCAGTTGATGAGGTTGTTAATCTTCATCGACTGAGATGGTTGGGTCACGTGTTACGTATGCCTGAACACCGATTACCACGTCGTGCAATGCTAACGGGTGTTAGAGATGGTTGGAAGAGAATTAGGGGCAGCCAAACCAAAACGTGGCATCAGTGCTTGAAGACACTAACCTCTAGTCTGAGCCATGTTGGTAGATGCAGACTACTTGGTTGGGGTCCGCGTGACTTTCGTAACCGATGGTTGGAGACTCTTGGTGATATGGCTCAGAATCAGTCACAATGGCGTCGGTGTATACACTCCCTGTCTTCCCTTAAACTAAGAGATTAAAATCACTTCATATCTTTCTTTCTACTAACTAATTCTTTCTTCCTGTACTGTATCCTTATATGCAATCTTTCTCCTATATATTACCACCTTTGACCTAACCACTGCTATGAATCCGGTGTTCATCTTGTTGTGCTGATGCGGTATGGCAACCTGGACCGATGCATATATGTGCCTGGTCCTACTTTGTAGCTGACTGACTGACTGACAGTTGCCGTAGACGGTCCCCGTTATCTGACCTGCGACCAACGAGTCCCCATCAACCACCTAAACGACTATCTTCTGTGCCTAGACACCTGACCTGATCATTCAAGTCTCCGGCTAGTACCACAATATCTGTCGAACGCACTTTCTGGAGAAGAACAGATAACTGGTGGTAAAACTCATCCTTGATTGCATCCGGGCTGCAATCTGTCGGAGCATATGCGGAGATGACGAAAAGACATCGTATCTCACGCCGATTTCTTCTCACTTTGATGGAACGTTCTAATCTAACAGCACATGACCGACTGTTAATGGGGACCCAATCGATTAGTGCTGCCTCAGCTCTAGTGCTTAGTGCGACACCAACGCCAGCAATACCAGCCGAAGATGCCACAGGGTCCCCGGATAAGCGCACGTGAAACAAGCTTTTCGAAGCGACTGATGAAGAGCGAATTTGTAGTACTTCACCAGAGTCTTGAATACGGGTCTCGGATAGACAGCAGACATCGATATTAAGACTTTCCAAAGACATAGCCAGCCCTATCTGTTGTCCAACCTGCATAAGTATGCGAATGCTGAAGGTAGCCAGTTTGAATGGTGCAGGTGGTTTTAGAAAAACTGCTTCAGTACTCATATTCAGTGGTAACATACAATTTTCAACCGGACAATGACTCGAGAACGTTGAGATAGAGTCGAATTTCCACCATGGGTGAGCTGCTGTATAAGTATAAAAGAGGGTGAATAATGTGGTAAATAATAATAATTATTATTATCATTTGAATCACTTGATTGTTATTCGAAGCTTGAAAAGTAGTTTCCATAATTATAGGCAGTCCATCATATTTGTGTGTGGGCTGTGATACCTCCCGGGTGCCCAGACCGAAGCAGGGTATCTTCCTTAACTGAAAGAATTCTTCTGGTTGTACCTTTCCGTTTCCCCATATATTATTATTATTATTATTCTCATCACACTACTTTACTTTAATCTGTGTGGCGCATATATATGGTGCCCCCTTGTACCAATACTTATGTGTTCAAATAAATAAATAAAACAATGGCTTGTTCATGATCCCCAACATTTTCATATGCATTGTTAGTTAGAATTTCCACCTCAGGTAAATTGTTGCTGTATACAAAAATTCACCAGGTACCCCTTTTAATCACTCAAATTTTACTCGCTTTCGTATTGCACCCTCATTACATAAAATGTTGTTTACGTTTGGACATCAAACTAGTTATCGTAATAAAACCATCGTCTATCTTTTACAAAAACTTGCATAAAAGTGATATGTATCTTAATTTCGTGTACTATTTTAGTGAGACCCACCTAACACGGGATCTGCTAGGTCATCTTGGTAGTGTGTTCGGTGTTGCGTTTAGTCCTGACCGACAACTCATTGCTTCAGCTAGCTCAGATGGCACTGTCCGATTATGGTCCACATTAATGTGGGGTGGTGCTCTAACTGCATGGCGTGATCATCTTCTACCTGTTTGGTGTGTTACTTGGGCTCCCACATATGGTCACTATATAGCGACAGGAGGAGCTGATCGTAGTGCACATTTGTATGCAACTGATCATGCACCAGATGCTTTACGTGTTTTTGTTGGACATAAAGGAGATGTGACGTCAGTGTGTATACATCCAAATGTTAATTATCTTGCAACTGGCAGCGCTGATCGAGCTGTACGCTTATTTGATGTTCGTTCTGGAAAGCTAACAAGGATCTATACAGGTCATAAGGTAAGTGGTTCATATTAACAGTTGGATTCGGGTTTCCTCTGAATAAACATCTATTACTGGCTACTTTCGAAGATTATCTTTTGTTTTTTAATCATAGAAGTTTATCTTTGTGTACCCTAATCTAAGTATATATAAACAGGTAACTGAGTTAATGAAGAAACAGAATGATATGTGTTTGTATCACGTTTACAATTCAGTACAATATCGATATATCAGTGGTATATTTTAGGACCATCAAGCCAGCAATTCTGACGTTAAATGCAGAGTAGTAGGTAAGTATGGCGAATCAATTGACAAGATAGTGGATCTCTATCTATTGAGGTGATTGGGACATATATTACATATTCACGGCCACCGAATACATCAACGCGCGATGATGGCTACTGTAGGAGCAAGTTGGAAGAAACCTAGGGGCAGTCAAACTAAAACATGGCATCAGTCCATGAAGACACGAACCACTGAACTGAACCATGTATATAGGTGCAAACCACTTGGTTAGGGTCCGCGTGACCATCGTAACCGTTGGTTTTAAACTTTGAATGACATGGTTTAGATTTGTTTGCAGTGGTGGAGTTGCATCCACTCCTTATCTTCCCCCTAGATCCTAAGTTCCTGAATTCTTTATAATTTTTTTCTGTTATACCAATTTGTATTTTCTCGAATTGTGTATTGATTACCTAGTTAATATTATTCCTGTTACTATCCCTACTACTATGGGATTTGGCCTAATAGTTTGACGTTACTGTGGTAATGGGGTGCAGCAACTTGAACCCATGTACACATGTACCAGATTCTACGTTGGGTTTGACTAATTGACTAAGTTGTATGGCTCCAAATTTTCAACCACCGAGTTATGGCTTCAAATTGGCACACTATAAACAGCGTAGTACGTGGGAAATTATTAAGGAAAATATAAAAGGATAAAGCATACAAATGATACTAATACTAGTAGGGGAGCTAAATGATAGAAAAGAGAAAAAGTGAATAAATTGTGGTTGGAATAAAACTTAAGAAGTGATTCGATGTTTAAGACATCAAGGAGAATCAAAGATGAATCAATCTTCTATACAACTTAAGCTATTTGATTTTTGATTTTGATTAAGTTTCAAACTACAATCAAGTTATCTCCAGTATCATATAGGATATTGACTAATAATCATCAACTTTACTAACGAACACGACTCTAAAAGCGAATTTAAATTACAGATTAACATCAGTTTTCGTGTCGTTGCGTGTTCACATATCGAGAGTTTAGTAATGTACGAATCCGAAACTGAGGCACACAAATTGACTTTCAAAGGTAGTGGTTCTACTCAAGTTACTTTTCCTTAGGTGTGAATTTTTGTATCGCCAAGTTAGGATTCAATACCTGTCAATTAAACAATAATTTTCCAAGTAGTAAATGCACAAAATATTCATTGAACTTAACGTGGTCTTCATCTTGCTCATTCGGAAGATTAAACTTTCACAGAATGTTTGCTTAATATCACTACAGCCTCATCTATTTTTAGTTTAGAAAACATGGGCATTAATTTTTGTCAGGTTTCATATTTTGTAGAGTAATTTTAATACAGGATTTCTTCAATAAAATCGATAAGGATTAGGTATCATCTGGTGTAGTCGTTAGAAGCATTCCATCAAAAGTTCACTCAAAAGTTTAGTACCATCATTTATGTTTTTATTCAACATAAATTTCAAGGCTTAATTACCTCATTTCCCCAAGAGCTCCTGAGATCCGTTTTCTGGATGATACCAAGTATAAATGTGGTAGTAATTATTTATTGTAAGTTCTCATGCTTTACCTCTCTTCCGATATCAATATGTATGAATAATTTGAAAATAGAAGTTGAAAATAAACAAGTTTTGACAATATTTTTAGTCTATCACTACACACAAGGATTTCTTTAAATTAATATTATGAAATCGAGAGGATGAAAAGCGAATATCCGGCGCTTTAACCGGGCCGGTAGACATGGTTAGTCCACCTAGGGGAGTTAGAAAACCCTGATTCCAAACCAATGGTACATATGGGCTCCAGGATCCTGAGAGAAAAAAACGTATGAACATGTTGTTGGTTACCGGCTACCATGGGACTGCATCTCCTTACGTTACTCCACTGCCTTGTGGACCAGACCTCTAGGTCAAAGGCCCAGGTTGTTCACTCCTAAGAAAACCACTTGCTTCGGTTTGGGAGCCCGGGCAGTATCCCAACGCTCACACAAATCAAATGACTTGTGTGGCGCATATATATTTGGTGCTTCCTTGCACCAATGTTTATGTGATTAAATAAATAAGTAAATAAAGTAATACAATATATTCGTTGGTCTCATTTCCACACAATATGCTATATTCACTGTTTTTCTCTCTAATATTTCAGGGTTCTGTTCAGAGTCTGGCGTTTTCACCTTGTGGTCGTTACCTGGCTAGTGGAGGTTGGTGTGGTACTACATGTCTTTGGGACTTAGGGTCCGGACAACAGGTTGGTCAGCTTGGAGGTTATTCGGCATCTAGGACTTCTGTAAATCAGCCAAGTAGTGATTGTGACTCTCAGGAAGCTAACTCAGACTCAAGTCAGTGGTTGACTGGTCCGGTTGTATCTCTCGCATTTTGTCCGGGTAATTCAGGACGTTTGGCTTCGGGTGGTCTAGAGGGAGCTCTACGAATATGGAATACAGTTAGTGGTTGGTCAACGACTGTTACTACTCCAGCTACTGGTAATAACGATGATAAAAACGCCAAAACTAATCTTTTGGCGTTGCATCGATTCACTAAACAGCAGTTCGTCCGTCAAAACTCTAAAATTAATAAAAGCAGTGGAGTCGGAGGTCATAATGTTTTAGGATATTATTCTTCAGCGACTGGTCCTGATGTTTCTGATGCATGTGCTAATGAAGTGTTTTTCACTAGACGTACCTCAGTCCTCGGACTACACTATGTTCATCCTTATTTGCTTTTGGCAGCTGGACCATATAACCAAACCTGATTGCTCTAAGTAGGTATTCTTAATGTACAGTTGATTTTTATATTTAATTCTCAAACATTATTTCGACACTTATTGTTTAGATGTATTTTATGCTACTGCATTTCCATAAAAGTAGTTTATGTTATGTCTCTAATATTTCCTAGGCATCAGTGGTTTTTATACGTTCGTTACTACGATATTTCATTTACCTATCCTCGATTTTCCGATTGTTTCATTAAACTACTTTGTAATCAACCAGCATCATGTACAAAGTGTAAATTGATTTTTCAAACAGAGATACTTGTTTTTTATTGTACTGATGTTTACACCTAGTAATGTCATGCAGTCGTAATCAACATGGGGTCTGGCACAAATATAAAGTAACTCAATTTACAATTAAGTCATCAATAATGGCAACAATATATTTCGAATAAATTGAATGGAAGCGTGATTATTAAAACTTAGGATTCAGAGGAAGACCCGTACTGGCAAAATATGTTCCACTGCAACCAACTTTGATTCATGTCACTAAGAGTCTGTCACTATAGATTATCTTGAAGATGTAAACCTAGAAATCCCCATCTCCTGAGACAGTCATGAATTGATCCCATGTCCTAAGTTTGTTCGCCCCGAACTTTTTTCGACTTAATGCAATGTTAGCGACTATTGTAAGTTGGTGTACGTGGCGGTTAAGCATCCTAAACTCACCTTTAATTATGATCCTACATCATCTACTGAAGACATTCTCAATGGTATGCTGTTTATGGTTCAGAACAAACATACAATGAAAAGTGGGGGAGCTTCAAAGTCAAGCTTAGAAAGTTGGTTACAGATTGTTTGATGGGTTTATGACGCTGTTCTCTCAGGATTATCTTGCACTTCACTTGCATCAAGTAATGATACAGTTATAGATTATTCGATTGGCTAACTCATTACTCCTGTTCATGGATTAAATTTTACTCGTGTTTAGTCATGTAACTGTCAATATCTTAAAATAATTGCAGATAAAACAACATTCAACGTTTCTTACATCTATCTCTCTGCAATTCACGAAAGTTCGTAGTTGTTTTTAAAGGAAATACGGCGAAAGGAGATGAGCTACGAAAATTTAAACAAAGATGGATAAATTAATCCTTTCTTTTGGGCTCTGAATAAGATTACCTAGTCCTTGCCTCAACTGATTATGAGCATAGGGGATGCTAACCAAATTTCCTGGGCTACCCAAAATGATAAGTGATGATTGAATGTTGGAGAAACACTAAAATTGAATAGTTAGACTGTATTCCTGAAATAATGCTCGGTTTTCTCCCACAAACGGGCCGTTAATTTACTTTAGACGAATATTTACACTAGAAACCCTCCTAGTGTCTATTCTACAGAACTTCGACACAACTCGGATCAAGAACATGTGACTGGCCTGATCATAGCCTAAGTATATTACCAACCAACAACAATAATAACAAGGGTACGAAATTATATAACGCATCTAATACCTGTCAGACTGTCTACTAGTCTGACTAGGTAAACCAATCATTATTTCCTCATCCACAGATGATGGAGAAAACTACCTGAAATTCTAAATGGTATTCGCACTGTTAAGTCTTTTTCCTCTGTCAATTATCACGTGACAAATTTACCAATCACAATACCGACTTACATGACCGTGTTCCTGCGTTAAACCAATGACATGTCAACCAGCACTATCAGCCTTGCGTCAACTCTGAGTTTGTATTGTTTCTCAAAATAGTCACTTATCGCCTAGCCCTACCCATTGAGTCCGGAACACAATCTCAACCTCCACTGTATTTCATTTCAGACACACGTAGTTTATATACAAGCAAATCAGATCGCATCATACCATAAAAAGTAAAAATTATACAAGACCGAGCCAAAAATGGCTGTCAGTGTGAGAAACCATAACTAATGGATTGGGAATAACTTAGGAATAGTAAATTGTGAAATAATCAATAGATAAGTTGAAAGCTTATGATAAAAGAAATATAAATCTATATAATTTAGTCACTTAACAGGTATACAATAAGAATATATATAATAACAGTCTACAAATAGTTCTTGGAAGTTACCCATAATTTAATTTTCGGATACAACATCCGTTTTTCGAAGCAGTAAGGATAATAAAGACCATAAGGACTTATTCAGTTAGTTTTTCGTCGGATGCTGTGCGACCGCTTGGAGGTGTTGTACACATTCTCCTGCTACTTGGATCCTTTTTAGTTTAATTATCCAATCCAGTTAATGTGTTTAATAGTATAGTCGGCTTTAAATCACTTTCAGTTTCCCACTCTTGTCTGGTCGGCCGTAGTTGGTTTTTGTATCGTACCTATATCTTCTCTCCAATTTCCACTTCATAAATGACTTTTCCTTTAATACGGATTATTGTTCCAATCTTCCAGGTTGGCTTTACTCCATAGAAATCTCTTGTGACTATCGTTTGCCCCACACTGAACTTTCTGGACAATACACCGTGTTCCTTATTGAATCGTCGTTCCATTCGTTTGTTCCTGAAGAGGCTGGTTTTAGGTCTTGGTTTCATTTGTTCTATTAATATCCTAATTTCCTTTTCAAACATCGTTTCTGCTGGGCTTTCTTAATTATTTGTTGCTGGGTTTGGCGTTGCTCAGTAGGTTAACAAAAATCTTTGAATTACATCCTCCTCCTCCTCCTCCTCCTCCCTCAGCATTAAGTAGTGCTCTTTAGCGACTACAATTATTTCAAGCCCAGGATTGTAATCGGTCAGCAACACTGTAGAGGATAAAATTCTTTTTATTTCGTCGAAAGAATTTCGACATTCGTTTGCGCAGTACCATGTTGCTTAGCTATCAAAAGTTGGTTTAATGGGCGTCGCAATTTGTTCATGTAAGGTACGAACATACTATAATATCCAACAATTCGCAAAAATAAACAGAGCGTTATAACATCAGTCGGTCTGGGCATGTTTTTGATAGCATTTATATTACATGGATCTGGCCGACAACCATCCTTATCAAATATATATCCAAGTTATCTAACAGACTCGAGCGGGAATTCACACTTTTCTTTTTGTCACTGAAAACCAGCTTGCAATATTTTATTAAGCACAACGTCCAACTAGCCCATTATTTCTAGAGTTGAAGAACCAATAGTTATGGTATCCAAACAAACTGATACACCAAGGTTAGTATCCATTTCAAATATAGAAGTAAAATGTGCTTTTTTTCAAATATAACCTAAATATGGGATTGAAGCGGAAAAAAATCTTTCCTGGATATTTACAAATTTTGTTAATTTGACGAACTGTTACGTAGCTAAGAGTTTCATTTCTCTTTTTAGTAAATATTGTCGCGTACATACATTTATTTTTAGTGAAAAGGATTTATAGTAGTTAGAAGTATTCGGATTAATGTGTTCAATAAGAATTCCGAAATAGTGCAATTTGAGACAGGTAGAAATAGATGAACACAAATGAACGTATTATATTTGGAATTTATAATCAGCGGGAATTCGAGTCCAAAGCAATCATTAGTTCGTACAAGTACTACAAGATTATATATCCATTCGAATTCACTTTCAGAAAACTGAACTCAAAGTGAATTTTCACTTTTGTGATTTTCTCCATCTTTTTGAGTACACATTTTAAATCTTGAATCACACTGACTGAATTTCACTTGCACCCACTAAGATTAAGTGCGTTAACACCATTATTCTATACTCTAACGATCGATAGCCTACAAAACATTCTCACTCTTTTCCAAGTTACCGATCAGAAAACTGAAAAGACCAGCCAATTTCTTTGTGTCATTCGGTATTCTTTATGTATTTTCCAAAACCCACGTGATTGTGGACATAAAATACACGATCACAACTCACCATAAAAAATTCAATATATTACATCACTAAGAGCAAATTCGCGAAACAGGTTTACAATTAGATGAAGCGACGATTAATTAATTGGATATGAAGAAATCCAGGTAGATTTAAACGAATCGTATATAAAACCTTAAAATCAAACTGTGGATCATTAGAATGATTACAGTCGATTAGATGTTCAAGTATGTTCAAGAGTAGGTGAACTGGTAGACGGATATGGATGCGACTAGTCATGGAAGCTTATCTTTTATGTATACAGAAAACACATTCTTACTACTGAACGTTATTTTCAGTTTTGCTGCATAGAATGTTCTTTTTGTCGCTGTCGTTATACGACTTTTGATTACATCAACTCGGATACAGGAACATGTCTCGGTGTGATTCTACAAGGGTGAGAGGAAAGCAGTTAGGAGTTCCGTACTTGGACATGTAATCGACTATAATCATTCTACTGATCCACAGTTTGATTTTAAGGTTGTATATATGATCCGTCCAAATTAATTAATTGAATAAAAGTTTACGATTAGGACAACAATAAAATATAAACCGGCTGTTTTTCTGAATACACTCTAGAAATACATATACTGATTCTGCAGAAAATAACTCCCAAAGTTTCAAATTTCTACTTAGTCTATTTATTCTAATCCATTGATTATTATTTAATTATCTATTTATTTGAACACATAAATATTGGTACAAGAATGCGCCAAATATATATGCGCCACACAAAACAATGAGAATTTAAGGGGAAGGAAGAAAAAGGAGAGAATGATAACGAAGAGATTGATGTAAGGTGGTGTAATAATGATAATGGTAAAAACGGGGGAACGGAAAGGCACAATCAGAAGAAATCTTTCAGTTAAGGGAGACACAACCACTTTTTGTGAAGAACGTTACAGCAGGATCGCTACTGGCTTCTATTCTGAGCCATATCTGATAACGTCTCTAGCCACTGTGTCGCACCATCTCTCGGACCCCAACCAGGAAGTCGTGAAGGACCAACAGAAACCAGTCCTTTTCAGCTTTCTTTCATACCACGACACCATGTCATGCACTGACCACCTCTCCGCTTTTTCCAACCAGTCCCAGAGTCGGCAAATAATGCACGACGTGGAATTCTCTGGGACGACATTCGGAGAACATGTCCAAGCCACCGAAGTCAGTGTTTCAAGATGGTGACATCGATTGCATTATCATCTCTGTGCCCGAACACACGATGCCGAACCTCTGCATTACTAACATGGTGTTGCCACTGGATGTCAGCAATCCTTCGGAGAAAACGATGATCGAACACAGAGAGTCGTCTAACGTCCTCAACTCGGAGAGGCCAGGTTTCACAAGCATAGAGCAAGACTACTCTCACTGACGCATTGTAGATCCGAACTTTCACAGCCAGACTAACATCACGAAGGAACCAAAGGTGACCCAGATTGGCATAAGCCGCTCTGGCTTTCACTATACGTGCATTGATCTCATCACTCACACCCCCACCAGCACTTATGCAGCTACTCAGATACACGAACTTCTCGACTACGTCTATCTGCTCACCATCCAGGGTGAGTACAGGATTGGAATCCTGTCAGTCTTGTAGAAGTACTTTGCACTTCGAAGGTGCAAGGTACATACCATACCTACGGACACTGATTGCCAACTGATTAAGTGCGGATTGCATGCCTTGGGCATTATCGCACAGTAAGACAATATCATCCGCATACTCAAAGTCGAGAAGTCTTCTCCAGGCAACAGATCCATACCACCATTACTTACATCCGTCAGAACTGTTTCCAGAATGTCGTCGATGGCAGAGTTGAAGAGGAATTGTGAGATTTTGTAACCCTGCCTAACCCCACTGCTCGAATGGAACAATGGAGAGAGGTGATTGTATGTCCTCACTCTGCCTTAGGTGTTTGTATATAGGGCCTTTAAGATGTTAATGAACTTCCCAGGCACACCCTTCTTCAATAGACAATCCCAGAGAACAGTCCTGTCCAACGAATCGAAGGCAGCCCTGATGTCA